TATATACAAATTTATTTTTATTCTGAAAACTATTTCATTGTAAGTTTAACATCAGTACAGAGAGAAGTTTATTGCACATGTTCTAGATGAGTTACTTACACCCTGGGGTTACGGCCCTCACAGAGCTCACATACTGGAAGGCACACAGGCAGGAGACTCTCAGCAAACTCCTGTGTGAGAGCTGTGCCAGGGTGAGTACGGTGCTCCTCAGAAGTCCATTCTTCAGGAGGCATCTGACTCAGATTTGTGATCAGAGCTATGAGTGTTTCTCTGTGTTACACAGCAATAAATAGTTTACTTAGAGAAAAAAAGTGCTAAGAGGATGGATCCCGTACAGCAAGAGGCTGAAGATGAGAAGGCAGGGCGATTCCATATACCATGGTCCTGAATCAGAGGGATGGAATCCCCTGGTGAATAAGAGGAAGACTGCCTATTATAGCTGAACAGGAATGAGAAAATGAGAGGACACAACTTTAAGGCAACGTCTGAAATGTGCAATTGTATTTTGAGACCCAGTTAATTCACTGGTACTGCTCCTCTTCGATATGATCCATTTGGGAACATTACTTGGGAGTTCTAAAATTTGAGTAGGGATCAAATTAGAAGTCACCATTGTGTAAAAGCCCCAAAGGGCTGTGCTGAGAGGGAGAATAGTGTCCGCTTTAGAACTAGGGTATGTCAAAGATGATTTTGGCCTCCAGATTGTCATCAACTCTGTCATCCCAGAGTTCTTTGTATCACCAACAAGGCACACCAGTTTTTGTCCCCTCTTGCCGTTTGCCCAATCATTCCTGTTGGCTTTTCTCTCTAATAGGGTTCTGCTTACCCCATACATCCCTTTCTGGCTGGTGAGGGTCGCTTCTTCATCCTCATGATGGCTACCTTTAACTTACGCTTGCTGGTCCACAGGGTCAGTGGTACTCTGGTCACGTGTTCCAGGCTCCACAGCCCATGACTAGAAAAGTAGCCCATGGCTATTTTGAGCTGTCTTCAGGATGCACTGCTGTAGCCAGTAGGATGCATAAGCATGTGACAGGCCCTATGGCAATATGGTGGAGGCCCAGGAAAGCCATGAAATTACAGCTGCTCAAAATCTGAGCCTATGTTGTATCTCTGCTGCTTCTCTTTACAGGATTTAAAACTTAATGTCTACATTAAATTTAGGTAATGTTTATTTTTTTAAGGATAGATAATTCACATAAAATTTACCTCTTCAATGTGTAGAATTGTGTTTTTAGTACAGTCAGAGTTGTACAACCATGGTTACTATCTAATTCCAGAATATTTTCATCACCCTAAAAAGAAACCCCCTACTCATTAGGAGTTGCTCCCCATTCTCCCTATCCCTCTGGCAACCACTTGTCTATTTCTGTGTATTCTCCTATTCTGAACATTCCATATAAATGGAATCATGCAATATGTGGTCTTTGGTGTCTGGCTTCTTGCAATTAATACAATGTTTTCAAGGGTCATTCATGTTCTAGCATATATCAGTAATTTTTTTTGACTGAACATTACTATTCCACTGTATGGAAAAACCACATTTTGTTTATTCAACAGTTGCTGGACATTCAAAAAACACTCTTTTAGCTATTTTGAATTTTCCATTTTATGCATATTATAAACACTACTGTCATGAACATTCATATACAGGTTTTTGTGTGGACATCTGTTTTCAGTTCTCTTGGGTATATGCCTGAGTGGAATTGTTGGGTCATATGGTAACTCTGTTTAAATTTTTGAGGAACTGCCAAACTTCTAAAGTGACTCCACCATCTTACAATCCTAGGAGCAATGTGTGATGGTTCCAGTTTCTTTACATCTTCACCACTTGTACTGTGTCTGTGAGTCAGCCTAGGTATGAAGTATCTTTTCATGTATTCATTAGCCATGTTGGAGAACTGTGTTCAGATTCTGACCATCTTTCGTCTTTTTATTATTGAATTTTAAGAGTTCTTTATAATTCTGGATATAGGTCCCTTATCAGATACAAATGCTTCTCAATTTAGGGTGGGTTATGTCCTGGTAAACCCATCGTAAAGTTAAAAAATCTCAAGTTGAGGCTGGGCACAGTGGCTCACGCCTGTAATCCCAGGACTTTGGGAGTCTGAGTTGGGCAGATCGAGACCATCTTGGCCAACATGGTGAAACACTGTTTCTACTAAAAATACAAAAATTAGCTGGGCGTGGTGGCATGTGCCTTTAGTCCGAGCTATTCGGGAGGCAGAGGCAGGAGAATCACTTGAACCCAGTGATTCAAGTGAGGTTGCAGTGAGCCGAGACTGCGCCACTGCACTCCAGCCTAGCGACAGAGCAAGACTCTGTCTCAAAAAAAAAAAAAAAAATCTCAAGTTGAACCATCGTAAGTTGGAGGTCATTTGTATATGATTTGCAAATATTTTCTCCCACTCGGGGGCTGACTTTTCACTTTCTTGATGGTGTCCTTTGAACAAAGCACACAAGTCTTTAATTTTTATGAAGTCCAGTTTATCTGTTTTTCTTGTTGTTGCTTGTGCTTTTGATGTCATACCTAAGAAACTACTACATAGTACAGGGTTATGAAGATTTACTCCTGTATCTTCCTTCTAAAGGTTTTATAGTTTTATATCCACACTTCAGTTTTCAAATATTCTTTAGAAATGCCCAAAGACCTTTCTGCCAAATAGCAAAGTCAAGAATCCATGGTGTCCCTCACTTGCAAATGAAGTAATGCGAACAACTTTCCACCAAAGAGTCCCTGTCTTTACTTTTTATCTACTTTCCAATCGTGCTCAGAAAGGACCTTAGTTCTTAGTGTGGAACAAGTAGAACTCATTAAATGTAGTAGTCTAGGAATCTGCAGAGCTTGTGCTGTGTGCTGGACAACAAATTAAGTACTGGGGGTACACATGAGACCACTCAGGTCTGCAAAGATCTCACAGGCAGTTGGTAATGATCAGAAACAAGACACTACAGGGTCACCAGAACTGTGGGAAAAAAAGTGGCCCCTCATAATGCAGTGGGGTCGAGGTGGAGGGCAGTCTCCAAAGTAGTCCTAAAGGAAAAAGCACATGCAGAGGCCCGAAGCTGACAAGTACATCGTATGTATTGAGAACTGCAAAGAGCTCGCTATGACCAGGTGATCAGGAGCAAGAAGAGTTCAAGAGAAACAGATGTTCTAGAGAGAAGTTAGCCAGAAAGGTAAAGCAGCTACCATAACCATTGTGTTGTGCCAGATGCTGTGGACACAAAGTGAATACCTGGTCTTTTGGTGCTGGCACCAGTTAGCACAATTTTATTTTCATGCAACTATAAAACCAAGTGGTTAACCTTGGCCTTTGAGTATATTTTTAATTGACAAATAATAATTGTAGGCCAGACACGGTGGCTCATACCTGTAATCCCAGCACTTTGGGAGGCTGAGGCGGGTGAATCACTAGGTCAGGAGTTCACAACCAGCCTGGCCAACATGGTGAAACCCCGTCTCTACTAAAAATACAAAAGATTAGCTGGGCGTAGTGGCGGGTGCCTGTAATCCCAGCTACTCAGGAGGCTGAGGCAGGAGAATCGCTTGAACCCAGGAGACGGAGGCTGCAGTGAGCCAAGATCATACCACTGCATTCCAGCCCAGGCGACAAAGTGAGACTACATCTCAAAAAAAAAGACAAATAATTGTATATATTTATGTGACACAATGTGTTTCATTACATGTATACACTGGTGTAATCCAATCAGGCTAATTAATAGATCCATCACCTCAAACGTTTATCATTTCTTTGTGGCGAGAACATTAAAAAATACTCCTTTGGCTGGGCACTGTGGCTCACACCTGTAATTGTAGCACTTTGGGAGAGTGAGTTGGGAGGATTGCTGGAAGCCAGGAATTCAAGATGAGCCTGGGCAACATAGTAAGATCCTGCCTCTACAAAAAATAAATAATTATGGCTTCTTGTAGTAGGAAATGAAAAAATTTAAAATGAAACATTAGCCAGGTGCAGTGGTGTGTGCCTGTAGTCCCAGCTATTCTGGAGGCTGAGGCTCAAGTGTGAGCCCAGGAGTTCAAGGCTACAGTGATCTATAATCATGCTACAGCACTCTAGCCCAGATGACAGAGCAAGACTCTATCTCTAAAGAAAAAAAAAAAAGCCAAAACCCTCTTTCAGCTATTTTGAAATATACATTAACTATAGTCATCATGCTGTACGATAGATCACTGGAACTTATTCCTCTTAATTGAAATTTCCCTTTCCCTTTCTACTCCCCCCACCCCCAGCCACAGCCTCCAGTAATCACCATTATATCCTCTACTTCTATGAGCTCTACTTTTTTAGATCCCATGTAAATAATACAGTATTTGTCTCTCTGTGTCTGGCTTATTTCACTTAGCATAATGTCCGCCAGGTTCATCCATGTTATCACAACTGACAGAATTTCTTGCTTTTTAAAGGCTGAAGAGTATTCCATTGTGTATATACACATTTACAAAAATCCATCCTTTGACAAGCATTTCTGTTGTTTCCATATCTTGGTTATTGTGAATACTGCTACAATGAAATACTGTAGGGCAGACATCTCTTTGACTACTGATTTCAATTCCTTTGGATATATATGCAGATGTGGGATCATATGGTAATTCTACCTTTAGTTTTTTGAGGAACCTCCATACTATTTTCCAAAGTTGCTGTACTAATTTATAGTATCACCAACAGTATGTTCCCTTTTCTAAACAGAAAGAAGATTTTAGTCTCCTATTGAGTGATCTATAATCAGGAATGTTCCAGATATTTACTTTTGCAATCAAAATAGGAATAAGGTTCAGGTTTTACTAAAACAGTTATGCAGATAATTGTGAGAAAATAGGACTTGATCCTTTTCCTGAATTATCAGTAATGCTATAGACACATGGAAGAAACCCTTCTGAGTGAACAGACCCTCTCATAAAGATCTCAATTCCCTTTTGAAAGAAAATGACATAAATAAAAACTGCTGACTAAAGGAAGAAAAAATAGTAATGCCACTACTCAATGTACACATATATCTTTATATACATACACATACATATCTATAGATATATATCTACAAGGAACTTTCATATATTTTTTGATCCTCACAGCCATCCTATGAGGTAGGCAGGTTTCAGGTATTCATACTAATGAGGTACTTTCCCTATAAACACTGAAGGATGCCAAGAAAAGTTTGCATTCAGATCTAGTTTCCACGTATTCAAAAACTAAAAGTTTAAAAAGTTGTTTTACTTTAGTTTCAGAATTGACATCAGGCACTTCTTATTTTCAAAGTCCACCCTTCAGAGAAGATAAGAAATTTCTGAAGTCCACCTTTGGATTCTTTTGGGACTCATTCTGACTAAGTAACATTTTCAGTTGAGAGAAGTGTTTCTTTGTTTTGCTTGTATTCTTTGAGGAGCAAGTAGATACTGACTGTCCAGACGTAGGTGTTCTGAAAAAAAAAAAAAACCCACACTTAGTTATACCAACAAATGACAATCATTTTCTACTCTTTTTTTTTATGGCCATATACAGGCAATGGCTATCCTTGGTGTATTATCATTTGACAAATGCCTGTTAAGATTTTCTCAGGAATTTCTGACAGAGAAAAGGGCAAGAACAAATGTTTAGGGCAAGAAAGTATACTATGAATGGTTCGGTATTTTTTTTTTTTTTTGGAGAC